ACAATTATAAATCAACTGTATTTGAAGTAATGATCACTGAGATTTTAATATGAAAGTGAGTTTTTTTTATATATCGATAAAATCGTGTAAACATTTCGAGTATTCAGTTCTTTTTTTTGTAACAATGAAAAAATTCAAAGTAAAGTAACAAATCATTTTTTTTTCTTTTTGAAGTCATATATCTTTAATAGTTCAAGAGACACTCTCAAGTATCTTCATTCAAAATAACATGTAGATAATTTACCATTTGATGATTCGATTCCTCTTGTAAGTATAGTAGCTGAAAAATTTATTAAAACATATCTTCATGATTAATTTTCAGTTATTATTCTCAATATTTCTACATAATCGTCATTTAATTAGTTAGTTAGACTTATTATGTTTCATGTAATCTATGTAAAATATAAAAATAAATGAAGCATATTGAAGAACACATATATCTGATGACAAAATTCATGTTACTTTTATCTCAGTTACACATGTTTAAACTTTATCACATCTTTATTTTAGCATATCATGATCATATTAGACAATATCCTCGGATATTCTGATCATGTTGATAGTGTTATGTCGAAGTTATTTACTAAAATCATGCAAGACAGAAATCATATGGATCAAAAAAAATATTGCACATATCAATTTTTTGTTTCTTTTTTTTAGGATTAAGTTGCAAAATATCGAAAATAGAAGATATTGAACGAGACTGTTGCAGATTTTCCAATACTGCATGTTCTAATACGTTACTCTGTCAAATGGAAGAAAATTTAGACTTTTGTTTTGTTCTTGAGTGCAAAAATAAAAAGCTAGATGAACAATTTATTACATTCTCAATTCAAATACAGTAGTAAAAATTTCAAATAGACATACATTAATGAGTTTATTTTTTTACATCTCTTGTGAGTAAAAAGAAAGTACTTATAAATTTTCATGAACACCGATTCCTGCATTATCAGATCAAGTTGAAAGTAGGTGAAATTTGTCTTGCATGACGCATACTTTTTTGACGTTGTTTTATTTTTGGGTGTGCGTGTAGGACAACAGAAAGTCTCTAACAACATCAGAATCAAAGCCTATACAAGAACGATATAGACTGTGTGCGTGAGTTATATTTTTTCTTTAGTACAGATCATGAATTATCCACATTTTGTACTTTCGATATTTCTTTCTTCGACTTTTTGAATTTCGAGGTTTCGTTTTTTGCACATTTATTCTTCAACATTCTGTAATTCATGTCTTTTTTGAACTTTTTTTTCTTTTCAATATTCTTTCTCGTCAAGATTTCGACTTTCTTTGTTTTTCTATCTAACCATTCATAATTATCAAAATAGTATATACAAAAAAAAAGAATCAATTAGCAACTATGTATGAGTATATTATTTGAATGCATGAGGTACATATCTAGCACACATGAAATGTATAAAAAAGCAATAAAGACTAGTCATGACTAGACATGTGCGGGACCAGTCCCGGTCCCGGTGGCCGGGACCGGGACCAAAAAATAGAATTTTACCGGGACCGGGACCGGGACCAAAAAATAGAATTTTACTGGGACCGGGACCAGGATCGAAAAACAATTTAGTCCCGGTCATGTTTGCCGTTGATAAGAAACATCGGCGGAAATACAAGTGAGAACTGCTCCAGATCTAAAACCGGCAGATTCCGCAACAACTTCTCTGACTATGGACAAATAACAGAAAAAGTAAGGTTACTTAGACTGGGTGTAGAACAAAAACCAAATTTAACACATTCGACGCGATTCGGTTTTATTAAAGAGTAGCTCTAGAGATTCATTTTCGTCTGCATTCATCTTGCGATAAATGCACTGCTTGGTCTTTTCATCCTATGCTGATCTGTCGTTTTCTCTTTTCCATTTGTAATATCACATGTAGCGAAGTAACCATTCTGTAGTTTGGCGAAACCCCTGTGAGGTCATTTCAGCATGACATGCCATTCGAGAAGTTGAATCAGCAACCCAATTCAAGCGCGAATTCACTAATCGCAAGCTCGAAGAAAAGGAAGGATTTAAGGGCAATGTCCGCAGACGCTGTACTGGCTGCTTTGCGAAAGGAAGGGCACAACAGTCAAGAGAAGCGAGCTATGCGGTAGCAAAGAAAGTAAAAACGTTCTGTTGTGAGTAACAATTTTTTTTGTCTTGATTTTTTTAACAAGACCCATCATGCTATGGAATAACGGACACAAAAAGAGTTCTGAAGGCAGAACAGATAAAGCTTTATGTTCAACCTCCTGTCTAAGAACAAAGAAAAATAAAGTACTTTTCTATACAGTTTCTCGTTAAAATGTAGCGTGGCTCACTGTTAGGCCACATCGTAGCGAATGTGTTAACTGAGCCCAGGACTAAAAAACAGAATTTCACCGGAATCAGCAGCAAAAGGAAAATTTCCACCGGGACCGGGACCGGGACCAAATGAAAATTTTCACCGGGACCCAAACCGGGACCAAAAAAAATTTACCGGGACCGGGACCGGACCGGGACCAAAAATTTAATTTCACCGGGACCGCGACCGGGACCGGGACCAAAAAAAGTTGGTCCCGCACATGTCTAGTCATGACACAGTGGGCAATCAGGTGGACATGACCTCAGGTTCTATTTTCCAAGGTTTAAATATTGGAATGAATACGTCTATAGTTAGTTTATTTTACTCTGCAATTAGATTTTGCAGAAATCAATTCGAAACTTGAAAAGTCTATCGTCAAAAAATTGTTCATTAATTTGTAAAGTATACGGGAATTATTCCTTTTATCAATTAATCAAAATATTTTGAAAGGAAAAACTATCTGAAGCGAATGATTGCTCCATAAGCTACATTTTAGGAAAAAATAATTTTGTTTAAACCATAAATGCAATAGGAAAAAGTGATTACTGGACCGAATATAGGTCGAAAAATCAGTCATATGATATTTTGTGAATGGTACGAAGAGTTTTAATCCGATTGAGCTGAAATTTTCACCAATTATTCTCTGATGTATGATTTATCATTGGTCATAGTGCCTTGTTATATCAATGAATACATGTCGAACGAGATGTATCCTGAAAAATCAGGCTTTTGCCTCTGAACCCCTAGTTTTAAGACTTCGAAAACATTTTGATGCAAAACTAAGGCAATATTCGAATTCAGCTCGTCAAACTGCATCGAATCACATACAGGGTGTCCTAAATGTTCCTTTTGTATGAATTTTTCGTGTATCTTTGCTATTTGATAGATAGATATGCCGAGTTTTTTTTTCTATAAACAAACTTCAGAAGTACTGTGCAAAGCTAAGACTATGAATGGCAACACAAAAACTTAGCCTGCTTTCCCTTTTCAGAAAACTCATGGATGATGTCTGTTCTAAATACTTAAATTTTGACTTGATACTATTCAGTTCGGTTTTCTGAAGACATACCAAAATAAAATTCTATGAAATGACTGTTTAAGCATTGGAAAATTTAAAGATTCGAATCACTCAATAAACCGAAATAAATAAAAAAAGAAATGTTGCATAGTACTTTACTGGAAATAGAAAACAGGTTAAATTTTTGTACTTCGGTTAAAAGTCTTAGAAAATGAACAGTAGTTCTGAAGTTTATTGGTATAAAAGAAAAGCTAGGTGTATCCATCTATCATTTAAAAATTAGTTGATAAGGGTGTGAGTAGCCACCCTTACCCAAAACTCATACTCAAAAACTCTTAAAACAATGTGTATCAGTTTTTCTGTTAATATTGAGGTGTTCATTGTCTCAAAATGATCAAATATAAATGGATAAATTAGAAGATAATGATAGAGATATAAACCAATGGAGATTCCATGTTGAACTGATAAGTTCGAAAAAGTTACCATGATGATTTTGTTAACAAATACATCTATAATTTAGATGCAAATATACATAAAATTATCATTCAAATATTAATTTCTCTTAAATCATACTAGTGGTACGAAATTTTCATTGATTAATCACATTAGATGGGAATTTAATCGATATAATATCTTTGTCATCATACAAGAAAAAATATTTCTATATATATATATCATATAAAGTTAACAAGTTAGAATGATTAACAAACCATCACACATATTGATTGAACATTCTATCATTGAATTTATGCTTAAGAATAAAGAACAATGTTTTTCATATATATAGTAGACTTTGAAAATGTCCTATTAGAAAAGATTGTTGCGTTGTTCGTACTGGTACTCTTCTCTCCAGCTATTATATTCCACCAACAGATCGTTCATCTCTATGTAACTTCCTAATCACATAATGGGAGATGAAAAAGAGAAAAATCATACATTCTACAAATCCTTCAAAGCGTAAATCCACCAATGAAACTCGAGAATAAGTAACTGAGATAGATGAATATCAGACTTCACATACACGAGCTGCCAATATTTCGACAGAAGAAAAGTTTGAAGTCAAAGATCAACGCAATCAAAGCATTTACAACAAGATCGATACTATGCAGTCCAAATTTTATGAATATTGCAATAAGTTATGGACAAAAAAGTTCTCAGACATTTTCCTATCGATATAATAGAAAAATGTCTGAGAAATTTTTTTTTCGTATATTAGTACAAATGATCTCTAAAAGAATATTCTTTTATTGTTCGTAATCATCAAAGTTCGAGCATTTTGCATATACTAGATCAGCAGTAAATTTTCTTTATTGGCACATTGTAATAGTGAAATCATGAATCGAATTTGCGATTGGATGCACCTATCAAACAATCTAACTGACTATCACTGGAATAGAAGTTACACGATTATCGCACCTACAAAATAAACTTTCACACAGTGGGTGCCAAAGAGAAATGCATAAAATAATAGAATTTGAGATTTCTTCTTGTTTATTGGACAAAAAGATTTTTATATTTTATTTTTATTATAATGTCTTGTTTAAAAATAATAAAAGTTGATAAGAAGAAAACAAGTGTAAATTCAACAATTTTTATAATAACGAAAAAAATAAATAAATTTCTTGATTAATAATTATGAGTACATTTTAAGCTAAATAACGTAAAATATCTTTGTTGTTGGAATCTCGTTCAAGATATTCTTTCTCAATTAATAAATCTATACATTTCTATAATATAAATTCATATTATTAAATTAGTTTTTTTTTTCATATTTAATAGAATACTTCTACCTCAATGACAGGAATTGTAGGTTTAAAACGTGTGCTTAATTGTTCAATGACTTCTTCCATTAATAAGGAATGTTTTAAACTTTGTTTTTGTTTCATTATTCGAACAATCGTTGCCTAGAAAATATCAACGTTTATAAATCAGAAAGTTTACTTTTTCTTACTTGAATTTCTAATTTACGATCGTCATCAATGGATTTATTTAAACATTTCAAATCATCTTTTGGTTTGATTGATTTTAATGGTACATTCAGATTTATTAGAAATTTTTTACTAAGACAGAAAAACAAAAAAAAAGAATCTTAAATTTGATTTGAACAGTAAACTGACTTTACCTTGTAAAATCCTCCTTTAATTCAATTATATGATCCTTTATAGTATCGTCATCTTGAAAATCTTCAGGAATTTCTTTCGAAAATAATATTTTACTTTTCAATAAACTACAAAGAACTTGAAGCAATAACTTAAATTGAATTTGTGTTTTATCTTGTATTTCTTCAACTGTCCAATGCAATTTTTCATTAAATGACAATAATATAATCATTTGATATGTTGATACCTTTTAAATTGTTAATTCTATATTAAACTTCATTGATAATCAATTATACTTACTTCTAATGTATATGTTTTATTAATGAAAATTGTTTGTAGTTCACCTTTTGAATACTGATGAAGCCACATTAATTTTCGACCATTATGATGATTAGTATAAAAACGTTCAAAACTCTCAAATGTTGCGTTTAACTAAAAGAAAAGTTTAATCGTAAAAAAAGTGATGAATAATTTCTTACTTCAATGGGTAAAATAATATTTAATGGAGTTGAAAATGACCATGAATTCGAACTCAATACCATTACAGAAAATTTGTCTATGAAAAATCAGACAAAACTTTTTTTTTTTTTGAAATATGTACAGAGTATGTCTTACCACTGTATTTAAGTTGTTTCTTTTCACAATATTTTGAATAGTCATCAGTCAGATCTTTGCTAACACGAATATCTTTAAGCTTTTGTTCAAGTTTGGTTGTGTATTCCAAGCCACATGTTTGCTATAAAAAAGAAAGTAAAATGAAGATAAAAAAATCGTGATAGATATATTATTTACTTTTAATTTTGATATCATTGATTCTTCAGAATCTTCAGAAATACTTAATTGATTAATTAAACGTTTTGATAACATTTTACTATAAAACTTTTCATAAATATCTTTATCTTCAATATAATTAAAAATGATCTAAAAAGAAAACAATAAGATTAATCAAGTGAATAATTTAAATAGTACCATTATTTCATTGAATTTTTCTTTGAGATTAGTTTCTTCATTGATTTTATTTCTAGAAAAATATTTTCATTAATTTTGATTAGATTTGAGTCAACTTTAACAAACCCTTTTCTTAAAAGTATATCACAATATTGAGCTAATAATTCAGATGATTTTGTTGTTGTATTAGCTTTTTGTGTTACTGCATTATTATTTGTAAATTTCTGACAAGCCTATATTATTTCAATAAAAAATGTTAATTCTCATATAAAAATTTTTACTTTATTTAAGGGATCTTTAAAGTTTGGTTCTGCATCAAAAGTTTTTAAGAATTTCTTATGAATATCAATTAGCGTTTCAATATATGTTCTTGGATCCTAATATAGAAATTAAAGAAAATAAATATAGGAAAAAGAGATTTGAACATACATTAATTGCATTGTCACTGATACGTTCAATAGTATTTATACCATTTTCATAAATATGATTTTCAATCAATTGTATTACTTGATTACTAATGTTCGGAATTCGACTAACTGGTTCATATACACGTTTTAAGTCTTCATTCAATAGAGAATGATATTTATTAAATAGGAATTAGAAAAGAAAACAATCGTCACCTTGACTATTCTCATTTGAGATGATTGCTTTCATTTTGTCCATAATAATACTTAGCTTTTGTTCAGGAAGAAATATTTCTTCTAATTTATTGACTAACAATTGAAATGTAGATTTGGATTTTGGTAATATTAACTTGCCAAAATTCATTTCTTGATCAAAATATTCTGATATCTATTATGAAGAAATAAAATTCTTATGTCAAACTTGATAATTAAAAAGAAAAATATTTACAAGAATAAGATATTCAATGATTGAATTTGATTCGAGAGATGGAACCTTTTGTTGACGATAAAAAACTTCTGTATCTTGAAGAAATTTAATCTCAAAGCATTGTTGATAAATATCAGTAATTGGTTCACTTATTGAATCATTTTCCATAAGATCTTTCATTTTGTTATTGACATTTTGATCCGCTAAAAGAAATCTTTCAGTTATAATGCAAAAAAAAAGCTTTGTTTATATACATACCATACATTTCAATAGTCTTTCTGATCGTTTCAATATCAATAGATAATTTATTAATACGATGCTCTTTAATTAAATTTAAACATATTTGTGTTATATTTGGAAATATTGGTTTAAAGAAAGTTTCTTTCCAAATTTGTTTAGCGAGCTAAATATCAAAGGATTTTTGTAAACGAAATAAAGATGAAATGTAACATACTTTATCAATTTCGTAAACATCTCTTCTATCTTGCTCGAATACAAGTGGTTTCCATTGTCGATGCATATACTGACAAGAAAGAGACAAGTTATTGCATGAATCTTCATAATTACGAAAATGTTTTTCATAAAGTTTAAGCACATCTTCACCTTCCATGCCATTGGTACTCTAAGATAAAAATATATAACAATGTTAGATAAATCTTACCTATTGAAACTATCGTAATTCTTTGACTTTTCATTCGTTTTCATCAATAGCAACAGAAAACAATTTACTTGAAATATACTCTGTAACTTGTTTCGAAGATAAGTCTCTATATGACGATATAGGTTGTCTGCTCTTATTTTAGCTTCATCGTATACATAATGATCATCTGCAGTATTTTTTCTTGATATAGGTAAACATGATTGAGTGTTTGTGAGATAGTTGAATATATAACTAATAAGCATAATTTGAGATAGTCTTTGAATAGAAAAGAGCAAAGGAGACATACGTATATAATGCAAGTCGTTCATTTGGTGAAATCTTCTGAAAGATGCATATTTGGTCGATAAATTCTTGTGTTTTAATCCGAAGTTGATTTGAAAGATCTTCTGCCATGTGTTACTCTCTAGAAAATAAAATCATAGTTCGAAAAACATCAATTAAAAACCGAATGAAATCATTATGAAAAAAAGAGAGAGTAAGTTTTGTATAATTATAAGAAAAAATATATGACTACTGTTTATTTTATTGTATTAATATTATAAAATAAAAAAGAAACCGACAAGACAAGAGCAAGTGAGAGAGAATAGCCTATCTAAAAAGCGCCAGTTCCTGTTACCGCAACCTACACCAAAGGTAGCATGTAGACATGTGCTATAGGTATTATTTATATACATTCATTATCTTTCTTTTTGTATATATGTTGTTAAGTAAAACTATATCTTTTCTTTCTTAATGTAGTGTATCCTACCAAGTGCGTTCACTTGTTTTCTTTGTTAACTATCTACTTTATTTTGACGTGATAGCGCGTCTTTTTTCCCACTCAATTATGTTATCTATTGCTATGTTCCACTCTTTCACGAATATCTAATATATATATATATATATGTGCATCTGTTGTTTTTTGTGAAAGCATCCCTGTCTCTGATCAAAATCTAACTGAACCTGATGTAAAGTCATAGATAAATATAGGCGTAAACACATCATAAGACATAATGATTCCGTTTCGTCATTTTCATTTCTTAGGTGATTAACTTCATAAATTTTCTAGTAATTTCCTCTTTGTGTCGAACTAGTTTAGGATATAAGATAATTGTTAAAATAACGTCTTTGAGTTTATTTGAAAAAAAAAAACAAAATAAAAATATTGCACGAAAAACTAACTAGAAATAACAGAACAACAAATAAGAAAATAAATATCTACCAGATAATGAACATGGTTCATGGAATCATCTATGGAATGAATTCACTGATGCACTTGGTATGCTCTCCATTGCTTTCTATGATTGATTGCAATTGATCAGGCTTTGCATCTATCGTTTTCGCACATGTTTCTTTGTAAATTTCGCTTTTTTTGTAAACTTTTTTCTTATTGTAACAATATCAAAAACATCATTATGCGAATATTTTCGTTTAGCGAATTCCACACATTTTTAGTTCTTCATAGATTCGAAAATCTAGCAATTTAGATCCCTACGGCTCCAAAAACTATCCGGATTCAGTACTAGAACCTTGAGTCTGAGCACAATCCAGATAGCAAAGTTGAAAAAAAAACGATTCCCGGTTCGGCGCCTAGAAAGTTTTGTAGGAGCCGTTGATCTGGTGATACATTACCTATTAATTAATATTAGGTTTTTCTCAAAAATTTCTATATTTTGTTTTTATTAATGATTCATATTTATTTTTTATAGAAAAGCAATATCTTCAAAGAATATGAGAAAAAAGAAAAAAAAACATAAGAAAATTCATATAATATGAATAAATTACAAACACAATAAATAGCTGTTCACTCTTTCTATATCTCTATATAACTAACAAAAGAGGTATCCCCGATTTTTTTAAAGCTTTCGGCTTCATCTTGTAGCTATAAGTAGGTTTTATTAAGACTACGAGAACTCAAAATGCATGAGTACCTATGACTCTTGACTTTCGATATACAACCAAATATGCATCTAAAAGGCTAGTCTTTTTATTATTTCTTTTGAAAAGATCGTTTCTCTATGTCATTAAATATTTCGGACCTTAAACATCTATTCAAGAAACTGATATATCTAAATTTAAAGTATCGATTAAACTGAAGATTTGCTAATATATCACGTGAAATCAAACCCTTTCTTGTATGCATCAGAAACATTAAACGTATAATGTAATAATTGCATTAGACCACGTTTGTAAAAAGAAAATAGCAGCTCATTTAATGATAGTGGTAATCTGCGTACAAGTGATGAAAACAGAAGACTTACTGACATCACAGATAACAAATGAAATCACAAGCTGAGCATCTTTTTTTCCTCACAGAGAGACGATCCGAAAGAGAAAAGACTTTCGACAATATTATGTTTCTAATACATAAAATATAGTGCCGAAGACTATATAATTTACTAGTAAATCTTCAGTACTTCATAATTCAATTTTGTCTTTGTTTGAAATGTAGATATATTAGTGCTTGTGATCGAGTTCCTTGAACAGCTATGTTGAATATGGGAAATATTTAGACTTACAGAGATATAATCTTTTCAATAGAACGAATCAAAAGCTATATTTTAGCATATATATTTGATCCTATCTTGAAAGATAAAAGCAATTGATATAAAAGCTTTTGTAGGCCTCATAGTCTCACTAAAACCTAGTTATAGCCAAAAATTCTTAAACAGTTGGGGTACCGCCCTTGCGAATTATTTGTTTCTTTCGTTACACTGACGATCAGCATTCTACACCATGAAAAGATAAAGTATTTCTTTGAGAAAAAGTTCTCCAATGATGACAAAATCTGGATGATTCTAGTAATCATTCTTCTCTAGGAAGTGAAGATTTGCGAATATTTATAATCTGAGTTGGATAGAAAAGTGATGAAAGCTTTGGCATTCTACATCAAGAAAAAATTTATGAAAAATGATGCTAATATTTTTTTTCTCAGTTGTTATGAGACACATTTTGTCCATTGCACATATGTTCAACAAAAATTATAGCAAATAAAGCGTCAGTAGGAACATACAACTTCCATGAACTGATTAGTACATATGTTTTTTCAAGCACACGATTATTGGGAAAATGATTTTTGAAATTCAGATAGCCACAAAGTTTCAAAACTTTAGTGCGCATTTTTTTTAAGACAGGAAAATTGATCCTTCAATCGTCTAAATACGTCACTGATTATAGGGTTCAAAATTTGAGACTCAGGGTGTAGGTGTGGGTGTTAATCTTCTCTATCTGTACATCCACACCCTGTATACGACTTATGTAGTAAAAGAATCAACATATTGTGCTTTTTACAGATATTCAAAACCTGAAATTTCAGGACACGAATTCGCATCGCCCGGACTCAAAGATTAATATTCATGAATGAATTATCGAGATAAATCTAGATCATTCTCATTGATGTTACAGATGAAAATCAACTGCAGTGAAACGAACGAACTGACTTCTCATTGTTCTCATTTTTGATTTGTCTGGAAGAATTATTCAACAGTAGTGATTTAATCAGAATTTTACTCGTAACAGTGTTAGTGGGATTTAGCCTCTTAAGATTCGCTCTGTATGGAGCTCATTCTCTGAAACCAAGGAGATTAGCTGTCTGATGATTAGACTCAGTCCTTCCTGGCACGACTATCATTATGACACTATTTAACAGAAGAATCCTTTGTCACTGATATAATTCCATATGGATTTTTTATTGAGAAACTATTGCACAAAAGATTCTTTTCCTATTCCGTATTAGGTCCTGAACAGACTAGACGGATTAAAATAAAATAAAGGTATGCGATTTTTATTACTATACAGTAGCACCATCATAATTCTTGATTTTAGTTTTAATTCGTCTAGTCTGTTTTGCTTCTTGCTTCGTAGTCATGTTTGTTGATCTTAGCATATTTCTTTATGTTCATGTTTTCAAACCTATATAAGACACTGTTGTATTCCTTTCCTTCTACTTTATTAATTGTTAGTAGAAACATATTAGCATTTATACATTCAATACATGGCAACAATAACTAGTAAATTATACTGTGTGAAATGTAAAAAACAAAAAGCTACATCAAAATGTGCAGGATGTTTACAAGATTTTTGCTACAATCATTTAATAGAGCATCATGAACAATTGAGTGAAGAATTAGATAAAGTTGAAATGGATCATGATTTTGTTCGACAAACACTTGTGGAACAATTAAATGATTCAAAAAATGATTTATTAATAGAACAAATTAATAAATGGGAAGAAGATTCAATAATAAAAATTCAACAAATAGCAGAAGAATGTAAACAACTATTATTTCAACATACAAATAAATATATTAATCAAATTGAAATTAATCTAGACAAATTAACTGATCAATTAAGACAAGCTCGTGAAGAAAATGATTTTAATGAAATAGATTTAAAAGAATTTAAAGAAAAATTAACACAATTATCACAAAAACTTGATAAACCACTTAATATTTCAATTACACAAAATTCTGCATCAATTATTAACAAAATTTCCGTTGTTATACCATCAGGTCAGTTTATTAGTTATAACTTAATTGATAAGAGGATCAATTAATAATGTTTTCTAAGAAAATGATTTCGATGAATCTATAAAATCAAAAGAAATATAAAAATTATGTTTATAATCATAGATTGTCTAAAAACCGAAATATTGAATCGATATGAAACAATTTTGAAATGAATTCTTTTAGAATTTTGTTTCATACTTTTATTTTTGAATAATTCATTTTCAAAAAAGAATATTCGTTTCTTATTTTTGTTAATTCGATTCAACAAAAAGAATTAATCAAAATTTTTTTTAGTTTTAAATCTTTTTTCGGGTTTTTTTTTAGAACAATTATTCCCTCCTATGAATATTAATATCAATACTCAATGGATACAAAATGGTATTACTATTGCTGGAGGATATGGACAAGGCAAGCAATTAAATCAACTCTCTTATCCTTGTGGACTTTATGTTGATGATGATGATCAAAGTATTTATATTGCTGACTATTTGAATCATCGTATTATTCAATGGAACTATGATGACAATCAAAGTCAAGTTATTGCAGGTGGAAATGGACAAGGAAATCGAATTGATCAATTGAATAGTCCAAAAGATGTAATTGTTGATAAAAAAAATGATTCTCTTATCATTTGCGATTCAGGAAACAGACGTGTAGTACAATGGTCTCGTCGAAATAGTACAAATCAACAAGTAATCATTTCTGATATTGATTGTTCTCGTCTAGCTATGGATAATAATGGAGATCTTTACGTTTCTGATTTGGAGAAGAATGAAGTAAGAAGATGGAAAATAGGAGATAAAACTGGAATAATAGTAGCAGGTGGAAATGGAAAAGGAAATCATCTCCATCAATTCAATGGTTCTTCGTCTATCTTTATCGATCAAGATTATTCAGTTTATGTGTCGGATTTATACAATAATCGTGTAATGAAATGGATGAAAGGTGCAAAAGAAGGCATTATAGTTGCTGGTGGACAAGGTCGAGGAAATAGGCTTCAACAATTATCGTCACCTAATGGATTAATTGTCGATCAGTCTGGTAATGTCTATGTAGCTGACGGTGACAATAATCGAATAATGCGTTGGGTTAAAGGATCTAAACAAGGTTGTATTGTTGTGGGTGGAAACGGAGAAGGAAAACAAGCAAATAAGTTCAATTATATCAAAGATTTATCATTTGATCAACAAGGTAATCTCTATGTCGTCGATTCGGTCAATGCTCGAGTACAAAAATTTCATGTTCATTCAGATTGAAATTGTTTTCGTGAAATTTTTTTTTTCATTTTGTTCATAACTAAATTAAATAATAATAATATCTAATACTAATTCATACAAGCGAATATAAACTGAATAGTAACTATTTTCTAATGTTAAATCAACAACTTTCATTATTAAACATATTCCACCATTTATAATATATATTTAGATTTTTTCAAAGTATTGTAAAACTTCATTTTATATGATAGCTGTAACCAATATAACTATGACAACTTCTCTTATGATCGGAACAGGTACATAAGAAGTATAAAGTATTGAAAAAAACGCATGAGGCATTATCATAGATCACAAATCGAAAAATGTGACTAAGTTAAATCTTTTTTGTTGAATTTCGAAGAGTAGGAACTATTTTGTATTGTTAATCCGTCAATCAAAAGTTAATGGGAACACAGCATGAAAAATAAAATCAGCCTTTTGTGTATTTTATGAATATGAAATAAATGTTGAAAGATATTTGTTTTTGATTTAATCTTTGAAAATAATGATCAAATAAACAATATATTTTCTGTCTATATTCATCTTCAATATCAAGTTCAAATATCTATTTACTCTACTCAATTAAGAAATCTAGTGCGATGAATTAATCGTCACAAAAATGTAAGTTTCAAATAAATGAAAAAACATTTCAAATGCGTACTGTTTTTTTAAAAGACATGACTAGAGTAAAAGCAACGGCGAAAATTTTTTGAAATTCGGATGACTTTCAAAGGTTCGTAAATCCTTGCATTACTGAATTTAAAAAAATCGAGCACTGTTGTCTATTACTTTTTTTAATAAAAAACAGTGATCCAATGAATTCTTCAAATATTCACGGCTGTTCATATATTAATCTCAAATGAGAAGTAGTCTATATATTTTATAAATTAGTCTTGTAACCGTATCGAATTTGTCTAATAAAATAAGTTTTCTATTTGTTAAAACCTTTAAAACAAAATAATCTCTTCCTACTACCTTTGACATCGATTTCATATGTAGTTATTATAACAATGTCTTTCTTTTAATTATGTTATTCTTTGTACATCACATTTTTCAATAATATAAACACTTCCTATGGAATCTAATTGTATATGTACTGTTTATCCTATGTTATTCATAATACACAAATAAGAAAAGAATCATTGGAAATGTAAGTTAATTCTTTTATAAGAAAATTATATTGATCTGATAAAACGTTTTTCTTTCTTACAAGAATCTAATTAGCTTTGAGTACATTACAATACTCAATAATATAATACTTATGTTTTACTATTTCCAATAGAGTTTGCTGCTTTACTAGAAAAATAATCATAGACACTTTAATTTAATTTTGTTCTTCAAAAAAACTTGCTATTGTTTTTAGAATGTATTTCTTTTAAATAAGAACTTTCTACAAAATTTTTTTTTATCAATAATTTACTTCAACTCACATTGATCTTGATATATTATCTATTTGAGTAAAATAACCTGTTGATATTGGATCATCATCACTTGATGATGGTGACCATAAATATTCAATTGAATTTCATGAAACAATTTTTGTTAATAATGATCATTCTTCTGGCATATCTGGACGTGTATATGAACTTTAAACAATAATCGGATCATCGACTGTCATTAATGTTGGTAACATTCTAACACAATACTCTACATGGAGGTAGAAATGATTTGCAATATCTTCAATGAACCTAGTATGAGGAATTTGTGTGCATAATTAGGTAAATTTTTATACAACACATTCTATTCAAAGAATAAAAGAAATCGATCAAAATAATGTTCCTAACTTCCAATCAAACTTGATATTCATATGAATATTTGCTTTATTTTTCATTTCACTCAGAAATGGACAGCTCCGGTTGCCGGCTCCGACGAAAGTTGGTAAACCAGCGACCCAGGACAGATTATACATACATCAAATTTAACATCATTCGACGCAGAAATGTTTGCTCTTTCCAGCTATGTATTTAGCTTGGTCCTTGTCTTCCATTGAGACAAAGTTGGTGGAGCCGGTAGTCGGAGCGCGAGCTGAGCTCGACCAGCTCCGACGACTTTGTTTCAACGAATACTTTTCTCAACGAAAGACAAGGGCCAAGCTAAATACATAGCTGGAAAGAGCAAACATGTCTGCGTCGAATGATGTTAAATTCGACGTATGTATAATCTGTCCTGGGTCGCTGGTTCATCAACTTTCGTCGGAGCCGGCAACCGGAGCTGCCCATCTCTGATTTCACTCATGAAAAAAGTTTGAAGATAATGATGAGAAATAGATAATTGAGAAAAAAACCGTGTTTTTTTTTGTTTTTATAGATATGAACTTGATTCTTCGAGTCGATAGATCATTCTTCCATTTTGAAGAATGACATTTGAACATGTGTTGTACAGATAGAGAAGATTTATTCGTTATTCATTGATACTCTTTATTTTTCGGATACTAATAAATAATTATCATTCGATGATGAATGCGTGTGAATAAAATCAATTTTGATTGAATATCATGATGATTGGAAGATAATCTTTTGTATTTTTTGTAAACTTGAAAAACAAAATTACAAACTAATTCATCTTTAACATCTTTTTCGACTTTCGCGAAATTATTCAATATATAAAGACTATATAAATGTAGTGCGAAACGATATCAATTTTTGGTAATAAGATTAAGGGACGAAAAAATGCTTTCATCATTCTATCGAAAATTTTGATGTAATATTAAAGATTTAAATATCTTTCACTATAGATCATTCATTTTTTTTTTTATTCAATGATGATTTTTAACTCGAAAGAAATTCTTCTATCAAATCTATTGAAACATTTTGTTATTGCTTAAAATCCATAAAAAAAAAAAACGAAATTTGAAATTCTTATCTTCTTCTTCGTTTTATTTTTCTCGAATAGAACAAATCGACAAGAAAAAATAAAACAATAACAATTTTTCTTTTTTATGTTGCTGTTGATAAATGAATAAAACGTGCAAAAAAAAATCTTTCACGTTTTTTAAACCATTTTACGCAACAATTGATTAATATATTGTTCACGATTTCCAAAATCACCACCATCAGCAAAATGATTAGCTTTTTTTCTCCAACCACCTATTAAAAAAACAAAACACACATTAATTAATAATTCATATTATTTTTAATTACCTTTTGGATTATTAAGTTTAAATGGCCAAAGAAAATTTGAAGCCTTTTTAAAATTTTCTCCAACAGTAAAAATTTCATGAACAAGATCTTCCATACAAATAATATGTTGTTTACCTTTTTTTTAACAAAAAAATAAATAAATAAATAAATAATCAAAAAATTTTTAATATTTACTAAGAGATTTTTCAATAATACTATTATCACTTAATGGTATACGTTGTTTATTAACTTTACCAAAACCTCGTTTATATATAAGTTCACGAACTGATTTTAAATTTGGATAACCCCATGCTATATATGGTTCAGCAATACGTAACATTTGAAGTGTAGCTTTGTTAAGTTTAATAAAAATACCATTATTTATTTGACGTAAACGAAATAAACGTAAAACCTGTTTTACACGTGGATGAACACCACGAATACTAAATAAGAAAATTTTCTATGAAAAAAAACAAAACGTTTGATTTACAAAAAAAGAACTAACCCACGAATACGAATAACAAAAGCAAGTGATGGTTCACTTTCAACATGATAATTATTACGAATTTTAGCTGAACGTTTAAGACGAATTAAATTACGTTCTTTTTTACGATATTCACTATTATATCTTTCAGCACGTTTAAATATAATTAAACGTTTGTATTTTTTATTCTAATTAATAATAATAATAAATAGATATATAGAATAAATATTAAAATTAAATTCATTTTACTTTAGCTGCTTGAACTTGAGCACGAAGTCGACGTGCTTTAAGATCAGCATAGAGTTTTCGTTTTTTTAATAAGACTTCTGGTACTTTTGGTACGACCTTTTTTGATGTTGTAGTTGTTGTATTTACTTTTTTAGCACTAGAATTAATATGATTATAATTGATTGAAAATATTAATATATCTTACGTATCAGTCATTGTTAAGAATAAACTTACGACGGAAAGATCTAAAACAAGAAAACAAAAAAAAATTGTCAAATATACAAATTCTCTTTGAATAAACTATTAAGAACTAGTTAAAAATAGAGGAGTCGATATAGTCCATATTTTATTTTTCATATTGGAAAATATCAATAAAAATCTATTGATTAAAATTTATGAAAAAAATTTTATAAATAACTTTAAAAATTTATTTTCAATTTTATTTATATAAAATTTTGAATTATTTTTGATTAATTTTGTATACAACCGCCATCTTTTGATTGGTTTTCAAAAAAAAAAACGTTGAGCAATGAATCATCATTGCTTATCGATTACGTCAGAGAAGAAGTTTTTCGATAAATAAATAACAAAAACAAACTGGATTTTTTCTTCACTATGAAAAAGTGTTTCATCTTATATCACAATCAAAAAATTAGAAGATTGTTTCATAGTCTTTAATTCAATATGAAGAAAATTTGTTCAATTCTAAAGTATAGTCAATACATATAACAATCTCAAGTTGAAGTGATACTAATGAGTAAATGTCATTTTACATTCTATAAACTTTCAACAATGAAGAAAATCTACATTCATTATCTTTTATATTATTCATTTGATTTCTAAATTTTATTTATATTTTCTCTTATTTTATTTATGATATAATAAACATAAAGCAAAGAGAAAAATTTTTTTAACAATAAACAATACAATAGAGAACATATTACATGAATAAATGAAGAACAATTTACAATAATGAAATAAAGAACAACAACAACATCAAATTAGACAATATATATATTTTTTGTTCTTTATGAACCAAAACCATAGAGTGTACGACCTTGACGTTTAAGTGCATAAACAACATCCATTGCTGTAACTGTTTTACGTTTAGCATGTTCTGTATATGTAACAGCATCTCGAATAACATTTTCAAGAAATATTTTTAAAAC